TTACTCCATTTTCATCACAGAACTCAACGAATTTTTTGCAATCGAATTGTTTCCCGTGGTCAGTGACAATAGACTCCGGGAGCCCAAATCGTGCAAAGATGTTCTTCTTGGTGAATTTTCGCACCTGCGTCTCCGTGATGGACGCCAAGGGTTCAGCTTCGATCCATTTGGTGAAGTAATCCACTGCCACAATCAAATACTTGAACTGTCCCGGAGCCTTTGGGAATGGTCCTAAGAGGTCCATACCCCATTGAGCAAAAGGCCAGGCGCCCACATTCCCTTGCATGGGTGCCGCAGGAAGATGTATGTCGTTGGCATGAATTTGACACTGGTGACATGCTGCCACGTGTCTCCGAGCATCCGCCCGTATTGTGGGCCAATAATATCCTTGGCGAAGCAAAATTTTCTCAAGACTCCGGGCGCCTGCATGCATTCCACACGTCCCCCGATGCACCTCGTCAATCGCTTGCAAGCCTTCGGCGTTGGTAAGGCATCTCAAGTATGCACCTGAGTGAGATCTTTTGTATAACACTCCGTCAATGATGGTGCACCGAGCAGCCTTGCGTCGCAGACACCATGCTTCTTTCGAATCCTCTGGTACTATTCCCTGTGTGAGGAAGAGCCAAATTGGGGCCATCCACCCTTCTTTGACCCCCGCCGATATGGATGCCATTATCACGTCTTCGTGTGGCATATCTTTCGTCACAATCACCGTTCGATTATCCTCAAAGTCCATAGCCGTCGCCAACTTAGATAGGGCATCTGCATGCGCATTCTCTTCTCTTGGGACATGAGTGAATGTGACTTCTCTAAACCAGGCGCACTTCTTGCGCACGGAGTTCACATAGGCGCCCAGCGATTCCTCCTTTACCTCATAGACCTCATTCAACTGGTTGACAACTAGAGCGGAATCGGATTTTACATTCACCTTTTGAGCGCCTAGTTCTCTGGCCATGTGGAGCCCCGCCAAAACAGCCTCGTATTCCGCCGCATTGTTCGTCTTGAGGGTCGCAAAGCGTAAGCCTACTTCATGCAAGGCGCCTAAGGGACTCATAATGACAATCCCCGCCCCCGCACCTACTCGACTTGCAGCGCCGTCGACATGTACTTGCCAACACTCTTTGGCCTCCAATCCTTCATCCGACACGCCTTCCGCTAAGAAGTCTGCCAAGACTTGCGCCTTAATTGCGGGACGAGGCGCATAGCTCACATCAAACTCGCTCAGTTGCACAGCCCATTTCACCAGGCGCCCCGCTACATCCATGGACCCCAGGACGGTTCGCAAGGGTAGATTTATGAGGACCACGATGCTATGCGCCTGGAAATAGGGCCTAAGTTTGTTTGCCGCCATCACCACTGCTAGCGCGGCCTTTTCGATGGGCGCATATCGTGTTTCGTGGCCTACCATAGTGCGGCTGACATAATATACTGGCTTCTCTTCATTCGTCTGAGGATCCCTGGACACGAGAACTGCACTCACAGCAACGTGTGACACAGCTATGTACAAATACAAAACTTCCTTTGCTTTTGCCGCTGTCATCACCGTGGGCGCCGTGAGCAACTTCTTCAAGTCGTCGAACGCACTGCTACATTCCACGGTCCATCTGAATTTGGAGGCTTTTTTTAGTCTTAAAAAATGGGGCGCCCCGATCAGAAGCCCGAGGAATGAAGCGCCCAAGGGCGGCCAACCGGCCAGTTAAGCCTTGCACCTCTTTTGGTGTCCGAGGGGGTGCCAAATTCAATATTGCCTCAACTTGCTTGGGGTTAGCCTCAATCCCCCTTCTCGTTATCATGAACCCCAAGAACTTCCCTGCCTCTGCTAGAAACACACACTTCTTGGGATTAAGCCTCAGCTTAAAGTGGCGCATGGTCTCAAAAGTTTCTCGAAGGTCCCGAATGTGGTCCAGGCGCCTCTTGCTCTTCACAATCAGATCGTCTACATATGCCTCCACGTTTCGACCTAGTTGCTTTTGGAATACTTGGTTGACCATTCTCTGGTATGTTGCCCCCGCATTCTTCAGCCCAAACGCCATCACCTTGTAACAGAAATTACCAAAGGGCGTCATGAAAGCAGTCTTCACTCTATCCTCCTCCGCCATGGGAATTTGATGGTAGCCTGAGAACATATCTAGGAAGCTGAGCGCCTCGTGATAAGCTGTGGCGTCCACAAGTATGTCAATACGCGGCATGGGATAAGCATCCGTGGGGCATGCCCGGTTAAGGTTGGTAAAATCCACACACATTCTCCAATCTCCCGTCGGCTTTGGGACAAAAACGACGTTGGAAAGCCAAGTGATGTATCTTGCTTCCTCCACAAACCCTGCCTCCAGCAACCTATCCACCTCGCAACGGAGTGCTTCTTCTTTTTCTTGGGTCAAATTATGACGCTTTTGCTGAACCGGCCTTTCGCCTTCCTCCACAGCTAGCCTATGCACCGCCGTTTTGGGCGAGACCCCAGGCATGTCTTGTGCGCTCCAAGCGAACAATTCACCGAATTCACGCAATAACTCGATCAATGGTACTCTCATGTCCTCAGGGGCCTGCGCGGATATTCTCACCTGTTGTTCTGGGCGCCCTTCATCAAGCGCTATAACCAACTCTCCATCCACGAATTCGGCCCTGGGCGCCTCTTCAGGTCGAATGTCAATGATATTCACCCGGTGTCGCCGAACGCCTCGCTCGATTTCCCGCGCATAGCGTGCGGCGTTCCTTCCTCGTGAAATGCCTATGCCCTGTGGCGCCACAAACTTCAACGATTGGTGACACGTGGAAGCCACCCCATTGAACTGTGCCAAGAGGGGGCGCCCCAAAATAACATTGTATGGGGAAGGACAATCCACGATGCCAAACTCCACCGAGTGAGTCACACAATGTGCCTCATCCCCTAGGGTTACAGGGAGGCGCACCCGGCCGATGACCTGGGCGGGCGCCCCCGAAAATCCTATCAACACCGAACTTGAAGGCCTCACCAGCTCTGGTGCCAACTGCATGCGTTCAAACGTACTTTTGAACATGACATCCATCGAACTTCCCGTGTCCACCAACATCCTCTTCACCTTGCATCCTGCTATTACCCCTTGTATTTCCAACGCCTCCTCCGACGGAACTTGGCACGCTTCATCAGGTTCTTGGTTGAAGTTTATGTGCACCGCTGCCTTCGCTTCCACCGATGCCGCTCTTAGGCGCCTAGTTCTTTCCAACTTATCTCTCAAATCTAGGGAGCCGGTAATTGATTCTACCGTGAGTCTCACGCGGTTGGGGTCGCTATCTTGGTCAACCTCAAAAGGTGGTGGGGGTATTTCAGGCGCTTGTTGTGTCACCACTCTTCCAGGCGCTTCTTGGACCTCAGGCGCTCGTGCTTGTCCCGCCATTCTTGCTGCGTAAGTGCGATGTGTTCTCTCCTCTCCCCTTCTAACAAAATCATTGAGCATTCCCTTATTGGCCAAGGTCTGGAGCTCGGCCTTCAGTTGGTAGCAATCGGCTGTGTAATGCCCCTTATCTCGATGGAAGTCACAATAACGATCGAGGTTCTTCTCATTTGGTTGTCCACGCATCGGCCCCGGCCATCGTATATGATACCCTCTATCTTTGACATATTGCAAGACATTTTTCAAGGTGTCGTTGTACTCTGTGAAGTTTCCCGTTGCCCTTGGCGGAGGGCGCTGCACATCTGGTCTTCTCTGTGGCATGCCACCCCCTATCGTCGGCCTAGGTGCTTGCCTCCCTTCCATTTCGTCACCCCTCAGACGCCTCTTTTCGGCTCTGCGTGCAGCCAACGTTTCTTCCAACATGATCACTTTTTGCACTCTTCGATCCAAATCCTCGATGGATGCCACATCTCGTTTCGAGAGGACTCGACATAGCTCTTCACTGCTGGTGCACGCATCCAGGCAGACTCCCAACACTGCGGGTTGCACATCTTTGACCGCCATGGCGACCGAAATCCATCGGTCGTAGAACTCCCTGAGCGCTTCTCCTTCCCTTTGCTTCACTTTGAACAGGGCGCCTATGGTCAGCGTCCGACGTTTCCGGCTGGCAAACTTGGACAAGAATAACTCAGCAAATTGCTCGAAGCATTCTATGCGCCCTTCCTCAATCTGGTGATACCAATCCAAAACCACTCCTGCGAATGTGGACGGGAACACCTTGCACAACGTAGCATCTGAGCTGTTGTACAACTGCATCTTTGTGAAGTAACTATTCAAGTGGTCTTCTGGGTCCGCCACTCCGTCATAACTGGGCAATGGTGGTATTGTCGTCCCAGCTGGCTCCATCAAAATGCTTCGCGCCAGCGGTTGTCGCACGCCAAAGCGCCTTTCTAGGCGCCTAGACGCCCAAGCATTAGGTTCTTCGATTTCGTTCGTATGCGGCGGGACTTGTGGTCTCCAGGCGCGCGAACGCCCCTGAGCGCCTAAATCAGCATGATGCGGGAGCCCGTATTGCAGAGACTCCAAATCCTCGCTCGCCCTCTCACGCTTTCTGACTCCCGGACTATAGGTCATCACGTCTTCACTTCGCCCCCCTTCTATCTCCCTCCGAAGCGCCGCAATGGCTCTGTCCTGGTCCGCAATGATTCGAAACAACTCCCTTTTCGTCAAGGACTCGTCCTCTCTGTCACCAACGAGGCTCAAGAGTCGAAAGAGGCTGCTCGAGGTCGAAGGAGGCATTTCGTAGCAAGGACGCGACGAGGGCGTCGCGAGCATAGGTGGGGGAGGATGTCACATGTGGCAGATGACATGGCGCCAACAAGGTGACAACATGGCGACTGCACATGTGGCGTGTATGGAAGACTAGTAGCATAGAGATGCTCCTAGGATTCTCCACCTAAATGAGAGCTTAATGGTGCACTTATGAGTCACATAATGGGTGACATTTATAGAGTGCATAATGGGGGGACTTAATGGGTGTATTGATGTAGTAGAGGGACATTATGAGGGGCATTGATGCCTTGTATGAGGAGAGGCCTATATAAGGAGCCATCTCCCTCACTTGTAACTCATCCATCATTTTTGTGAGCAATACAACTATAGAGTTTCTCCCATCTTCTTGTGTCTTGTTCTTGTGAGTTGAGTGAGTTTGAGAGCTTGTGAGAAGGCTGCCTAGTATCTCTAACGGAATTGAGAGCTAGGGCCGCACGACCAAGAGTAAGGCCGTGACAGTTGGTATCAGAGCCTGGTTCTGAAAGAAGAACCGGTGTCCTCACTCCTCAAGAAGGAAGATAAGAAAGAGCGAGAGCCTCACCAAAGATGACTGGATCAGAAGTCCATGACGATGCGGAGAAGCACCGTGGACGGGATACCGTGAAGAATCCCAAGGCAAATGGTGACAAGTCAAGCACTCGTGATCCTATGACGTCTCTAGAGAGGCGTGTCTCTAGAGTGGAGGTGAAGTTGGCGGAAGATATCACCGCCATCGAGGATTTGGGAGCTAACTTCGCCCAAGTCGAAAGCGATTGTCAAGGTATGAATGCTCGTTTGTCGAGCTTGGAGATTGGTCATGATGGCATACGAGAAGAGCTTGTGGCCCTCATCAACAACACCATCAACACATCCTTGAACAACGCCATTGAGGTTGTCAAAGAGCATGTCCAGGCTGAGCTGGTCGACGTGAAGGAGGAGATTGCAGACCTCAAGAGTGAGGTCACTCTCGTGAAGAGAGCCATGGCTAATGGACCTGCCATTGCACAACCTACCTCAACCATGGAGGTTCCTAGACCAAAGAGCTTTCAAGGGTCGAGGAATGCAAGGGAGTTAGAGAACTTCCTATGGAGCTTGGAGCAATACTTCGAAGCTTTGGGTATTCGAGATGAGAATACCAAGGTAAAAACTGCACCTCTTTACTTGAGTGATGTTGCCATGCTGTGGTGGAGAAGGACCCAAGGCGATATCAATAAAGGGGCGTGCGTGATGGAGTCATGGGATGACTTCAAGAGGGAGATCAAGAGGCAATTCTACCCAGAGAATGTTGAGTTTGAAGCCCGGTCGAGACTAAGGAGGCTTGCTCACGAAGGAGAGATTCGAGGGTATGTGAAAGAGTTTTCTGAATTGTTGCTCGAGATCCCCGACTACACCGACAAGGAGGCCATGTTCACCTTCCTTGACGGCCTCCAACCATGGGCGAAGTTGGAGCTACAACGGCGAGGCGTGCAAAGTCTTGCCGAGGCAATGGCGATTGCCGAGTCCCTAGTCGAGTACCACGAGCCGGAGGAACGTGCGGAGTTTGGAGGCAATGGAGGTGGACGCGACTATGATAGAGACACACGAAGGCGTGGTAGACCGGACCAAGGAGGTAGTCATAAGGTTGAGAAACCACTTACTTGCTTTCTTTGTGATGGTCCACACCGTGTGAGAGATTGCCCAAGAAAGCACAAGTTGTCGGCAATGAAGGCCGTACTGGCAGAGTGCTCGAGCTCGGAAGAGGAAGCAGAGGAGGCTCCAAGAGTGGAGCCCCATGTCGCGAAGATCGGTTGCATGAAGAGATTGAGCGCCATCAAGCGGGCGGAAGAGCCTCTCCAACCCGAGCAGCACGGCCAATGCTTCGTAGAGGCGAAGCTCAACCAAAGGAAAACAAAAGCTTTGGTTGATACTGGGGCAAGTTGCAACCTTCTTGACGTAGGTGAAGCGCAGAGGCTAGGCATCACGTACGAGAAGAAGAAAAGAGGGTGGATGAAAGCTACCAACTCAAGGGCCACAAGAACTCATGGAGTAGCGCGCCAGGTGCCACTCAAGCTTGGAGGATGGACCGGGGTGGCAGACTTTGAGGTTGTGTCGTTGGATGATTATCAGGTCATCATCGGCATGGAATTCATGGTGCGGGAGAAAGCTTTCCCGATTCCCTACGCCAATAGATTCTGCATCAAAGGCGGAGCAAGATCGGTTCCCATGACAAGAGAGCAACTTGAGTCAAACAAGAGGTGTTTGGCAAGGCAAGAGCAGCGAGAAGTGGCAACGATGGTGGAGGCAGAGACTCACTTGAAGACTCGTTGGAGAAGGACGAGAAGGAGGAGTGCACAACATCGTGGAGCCATGAGAGACGAGGATGTATCATCTTCGACTTGCCAAGAGAAGCAAGGAAAGGCCACCATGATCGAGAAGGCGGGACACTCAAAGACGCGACGGAGAAGACCGCGGAGGAGTGAGCAACATCATGGGAGCACAAGGCTCGAGAGCGAGCCAAGGCCATCCTTGGTTTGGAGGAAGGTGCAACGAGACCTTGCAAGCAATGAAGCTAAGGCAAGGGAGGCGTCTGCCAAAGAGCCACGACGAGGGCGTCGTGGATTGAGTGGAGGAGAATGTCACCAACGAGGCTCAAGAGTCGAAAGAGGCTGCTCGAGGTCGAAGGAGGCATTTTGTAGCAAGGACGCGACGAGGGCGTCGCGAGCATAGGTGGGGGAGGATGTCACATGTGGCAGATGACATGGTGCCAACAAGGTGACAACATGGCGGCTGCACATGTGGCGTGTATGGAAGACTAGTATCATAGAGATGCTCCTAGGATTCTCCACCTAAATGAGAGCTTAATGGTGCACTTATGAGTAACATAATGGGTGACATTTATAGAGTGCATAATGGGGGGACTTAATGGGTGTATTGATGTAGTAGAGGGACATTATGAGGGGCATTGATGCCTTGTATGAGGAGAGGCCTATATAAGGAGCCATCTCCCTCACTTGTAACTCATCCATCATTTTTGTGAGCAATACAACTATAGAGTTTCTCCCATCTTCTTGTGTCTTGTTCTTGTGAGTTGAGTGAGTTTGAGAGCTTGTGAGAAGGCTGCCTAGTATCTCTAACGGAATTGAGAGCTAGGGCCGCACGACCAAGAGTAAGGCCGTGACATCTCCCGGCGACAGGCGCCCATGACTAGCCTCCCCTTCCACGTCCATGGGTGTCTCAGGACTCGACTGACGTTCGCCGTCTCCCATGTGGGAATTCTCCGATCTCGTAACATCTTCCTCCCCAATCCCCTCATCTAAGTTCTCCATGCGCCCGACGTCGATCAATTTCGCCCCCCCCTATCTGGCGCGCCAATTGTTGAAGCCGCGTTACTCCGAGCCTCAATTCCTCTCTCTCACGTATTGCACCTGTAAACAGGCGCGTGAACCCTACACCAACAAACGCCTAGTGGGCTAGAGTGGCCCGTTAGCACTCCGACGCTTAAGCCAGAGTCGGCTTTTAGAGAGAGAAGTAATCTCAAACTTTTAGTGAGAGAAGCCAACCTGCTTAAATGCTACCTATCGAGTACTATTTATACTCGATGAGGCCCCGACCAGGCTCCTGGATCCCAGCTCCACGTCAGCGCATCATTAAATGCCTAGTACGGTCCAACGGTCGGATATCTACACGTGGCAGCTCCCAGACCCGACGCCTAGGCGCCTGGCAGGACCACATCTCCAGGTGGCACGCTCTCAGCTCCTTGGCCTCATAGCCGCATGGTCCCCGTGTCTATTTTGTCGTTATGCGCTCGGCACTCTGACTCTGGGCCCAACTCTTACCTTGTCTTCCCTGCCCTTAATTGGGCCCGGGCCCAATTAAGTCTATTGAGCCCATGTCCCCCATAGGCTTGCCCATATTTATCCAACAATTAACACTAAAATTACCATGATTCAAACACACATCTTCTCCTAACCATATATATTGCTTATTCTACCACATCCAGGGCTAATTCAACCTCAAATTAATATTTAATTTGGGGTATGTACTTCTACATTCTCATACGTTCATTTTGTCATGTTCTATACTCGGTTGTGTCGTTTGATGATGTCATTTCAGGAATGAGTAAAAATAACTACAGCATATGAATATATAGACAATAAATATATGATAATTAACATCTGTAAATCAAAGAAAACTAAGTCAAAAAGTTTAGACGTACGTTTTTCATGCATGCCCAGGCAGAATATGAGATTAATCTTCCCCGGCCCAATGGAAAACGGCTGGTCATCATGAGTCGCTTAATCATTATTTATCCAGATAATTTTGTACCTACAAGTACGTTCATTTTTATCTTCAATTAGGTTTTTACGTGTAGGTAAAAAATTGTTATTATTTTGTTAATCATAAACGCCGTAATTAAGCTTGAGAGCCGGTCTTAGTTAACTTTTGATCTTTCTACTTTTCTAGATGGTCAATCATTTCATATAATTAATTTAGCATTTTTACTATAAAAGCTCGTGTTCGTGACCTTTTTTTTCTAGTAAGAATTAATTAATTAGGATATCTGGCTACTGTTACGCTAGCTAGCTGGCTGGTATAGCGTAGGATAACAATTTCGACCGGACATGTTTTATCCGACACTGTTAGACTTGTTTTGGGCGGGAACGACATTCTGACATTAATCTTAATTGTTTATTATTATTTATTAGTATATTTATTATGTTTTCTTGATATTCATCCATTATTTTTCCTAATTTTTCTAGTTTTGTTGAAATGTTTTCAGTTGCAATTTCAGTAATTTTGTGCCCTAAAGGTTTTCTAATATTAAGATAATACTTCCTAGGATTTTGAAGACTACAGATCTTGGATTGAGCATGAGGCTATTCTTTAAAGATGATTAAGTTTATTTAGCACCGCTTTGGACGGATTTCTTCTGGATCGATTTTTGGCAGATTACAAAGGGGTACCATCACAGATTTCGAGCAATTTTTTCGAAATGTCATTTTCTTTCGATTTTGGAGGCTACAGATCACGGATTCAGCGCGAGGCTATTCACCACCGATAAGGAAGTCTATTGATTCTATTCTCTACCGATGATTAAGTTCCTTAAGCACCGATTTGGGCGAATTTATTTTCGGATGGCATTTAGCGTAATTTTTTGAGTGGATTTTTTCGAAAGACCATTTTCCTAGGATTTTGAAGACTACAGATCTCGGATTGGGCCCGAGGCTATTCTTCAACGATGATTAAGTCTATTGAGCACCGATTAGGGCGGATTTCTTCCGGGTCGATTTTTGGCAAATTCCAAAGGGGTACCATCACAGATTTCAAGCAATTTTTTCGAAATGCTATTTTCTTTCGATTTTGGAGGCTACAGATCACGGATCCAGCCCGAGGCTATTCTCCACCGATAAGGAAGTCTATTGATCCTATTCTCCACCGATGATTAAGTTCCTTTAAGCACCGATTTGGGCGAATTTATTTTCGGGTGACATTTAGCGTAATTTTTTTGGTGAATTTTTTTCGAAAGGCCATTTTCCTAGGATTTTGAAGACTACAGATCTCAGATTGGGCCTGAGACTATTCTTCAACGATGATTAAGTCTATTAACCACCGATTTGGCGGATTTCTTCCAGGTCGATTTTTGGCAGATTCCAAAGGGGGTACTATCACATATTTCGAGATTTTTTTTTCGAAATGCCATTTTCTTTAGATTTTGGAGGCTACAGATCACAGATTCAGCCCGAGGCTATTTTCCACCGATAATGAAGTCTATTGATCCTATTCTCCACCAATGATTAAGTTCCTTAAGCACCGATTTGCGCAAATTTATTTTCGGATATGCGTAATTTTTTGGGTGAATTTTTTTGAAAGCCCATTTTCCTAGGATTTTGAAGATTGCAGATCTCGGATTGGGCCTGAGGCTATTCTTCAACGATGATTAAGTCTATTAGCAGCGATTTGGTCGGATTTCTTTCGGGTCGATTTTTGGCAGATTCCAAAGGGGTACCATTACAGATTTCGGGCGATTTTTTCGAAATGCCATTTTTTCCGATTTTGGAGGCTACAGATCATGGATTTAGCGCGAGGCTATTCTCCACCGATAAGGAAGTCTATTGATCTTATTCTCCACCGATAAGGAAGTCTATTGATTCTATTCTCCACCGATGATTGAATTCCTTAAGCACCGATTTGGGCGAATTTATTTTCGGATGACATTTAGCGTAATTTTTGGGTGGATTTTTCGAAAGGCCATTTTCCTAGGATTTTGAAGACTACAGATCTCGGATTGGGCCTGAGGCTATTCTTCAACGATGATTAAGTCTATTAAGCACCGATTTGGGCGGATTTCTTCCGGGTCCGTTTTTGGAAGATTCCAAAGGGGTACCATGACAGATTTCGTGAGATTTTTTCGAAATGCCATTTTATTTCTACTTTGGAGGCTACAGATCACGGATTCAGCCCGAGACTATTCTCCAACGATAATGAAGTCTATTGATCATATTCTCCACCAATGATTAAGTTCCTTAAGCACCGATTTGGGCAAATTTATTTTCGGATTTGCGTAATTTTTTAGGTGAATTTTTATGAACGACCATTTTCCTAAGAGTTTGAAGACTACAGATCTCGGATTGGGACCGAAGCTATTCTTCAACGACGATTAAGTTTATTAAGCATCGATTTGGGCGGATTTCTACCGGGTCGATTTTTGCCAGATTCCAAAGGGGTACCGTCACAGATTTCGGGCGATTTTTTTGAAATGCCATTTTCTTTCGATTTTCGAGGCTACAGATCACGGATTCAGCGCTAGGCTATTATCCACCGATAAGGAAGTTTCTTAATCCTATTCTCCACTGATGATTAAGTTCCTCAAACACCGATTTGGGCAAATTTATTTTCGGATTTGAGTAATTTTTTGGGTGAATTTTTTCGAAAGACCATTTTCCTAGGATTTTGAAGACTACAGATCTCGGATTAGGCCTAAGGCTATTCTTCAACGATGATTAAGTTTATTAAGCACCGATTTAGGCGGATTTCTTCCTGGTTGATTTTTGGCAGATTCATAAGGGGTACCATCACAGATTTCGTGCGATTTTTTCGAAATGTCATTTTCTTTCGATTTTGGGGGCTACAGATCACGGATTCAGTGCGAGACTATTCTCCACCGATAAGGAAGTCTATTGATCCTATTCTCCGCCGATGATTAAGTTCCTTAAGCACCAATTTGGACGGAATTATTCTAGGTCAATGTTTCGCAGATTCCAAAGGGGTACCATCACAGATTTCAGGCGATTATTCCGAAATGCCATTTTCTTTCGGTTCTGGAGGCTAAAGATCAAGAAATCTGGCCAAGCCTATTCTCCACCGATAATGAAGTCTATTGATCATAATCTCCGCGGATGATAAGACATTAGCACAAATTTGGGCCAATTTATTTTCGGATGGCATTTTCGCTATTTTTAGGGCGACGAAAGGCCGTTTCTTTGGATATTGAAGGCTATAGATCGCGGATTCGGCCTGAGGCTATTCTTCAACGATGATTAAGTCCATTAAGCACTGATTTGGGCGGATTTATCTCTGTCAATTTTTGGCAGATTCCAAAGGGATACCATCAGAGATTTCAGGCGATTTTTCCGAAATGCCATTTTCTTTCGATTCTGGAGGCTATAAATCACGGAATCGGGTCGAGTCTATTCTCCATCGATATTGAAGTCTATTGATCCTATTCTCCACATATGATAAGCCCATTAAGCACAAAATTGGGCCAATTTAATTACGGATGGCATATTCGTTATTTTTTGGGCGACGAAAGACCATTTTCTTTGAATATTTAAGGGTACAGATCACAAATTCGGCTGAGACTATTCTTCAACGATGATTAAGTCCATTAAGCATCGATTTGGTCGGATTTCTTCCGAGTCAATTTTTTGCGGATTCCAAAGGGGTACCATCACAGATTTCGGGCGATTTTAACGAAATGCCATTTTCTTTCAATTATAGAGGATATAGATCACGAAATCAGGCCGAAGCTATTCTCCACCGATAATGAAGTCTATAGATCCTATTCAGCACGGATGATAAGACGATTAAGTACCGATTTGGGCCAATTTATTTTCGGATGACATTTTCGTTATTTTTTAGGCGACGAAAGGCCATTTTCTTTGGATATTGAAGGCTACAGATCACGGATTCGACTAGAGGCTATTCTTCAACGATTATTAAGTTCATTAAGCACCAATTTGTGCAGATTTATTCTTGGTCAATTTTTGGCAGATTCCAAAAGGGTACCATCACAAATTTCGGGAGATTTTTCCGAAATGCCATTTTCTTTCGATTCTGGAGGTTAAAGATCACGGAATCATGTGAGACTATTATCCACCGATAATGAAGTCTATTGATCCTATTCTCCACGGATGATAAGCCCATTAAGCACAGATTTGGGCCAATTTATTTTCGGGTTGCATTTTCTTTATTTTGTTGCGCCGAAAGGCCATTTTCTTTGGATATTGAAGGCTACAAATCAAGGATTAAGTCTGAGGCTATTATTCAATGATGATTATGTCCATTAAGCACCGATTTGGGTGGATGTATTCTAGATTAATTTTTGGCATATTCCAAAGGGGTACCATCACAGATTTCGGGAGATTTTTCCGAAATGCCATTTTCTTTCGATTCTGGAGGCTAAAGATCACGCAATCAGACTGAGACTATTTTCCACCGATAATGAAGTCTATTGATCCTATTCTCCACGGATGATAAGCCCATTAAGCACAAATTTGGGCCAATTTATTTTCGGGTGCATTTTCGTTATTTTTTGTGCGACGAAAGACCATTTTCTTTGGATATTGAAGGCTACAAATCAAGGTTTCGGTCTTAGGCTATTCTTCAATGATGATTATGTCCATTAAGCACCGATTTGGGTGAATTTATTCTAAATCAATTTTCGCCATATTCCAAAGGGGTACCATCACAGATTTCGGTCGATTTTTCTGAAATGCCATTTTCTTTCAATTCTGGAGGCTATAGATCACAGATTCTCCCTGAGGCTATTCTTCAACGATGATTAAGTCCATTAAGCACCAATTTGGGCGGATTTATTCTGGGTCAATTTTTGGCAGATTCCAAAGGGGTACCATCACAGATTTCGGACGATATTTCCAAAATGCCATTTACTTTCGATTCTAGAGGCTAAAGATCACGGAATCAGACAAAGGCTATTCTTCACCGATAATGAAGTCTATTGATCCTATTCTCCACGGATGATAAGCCCATTAAGCACCGATTTGAGCCAATTTATTTTCGGATTGCATTTTCGTTATTTTTTGTGCGACGAAAGGCCATTTTCTTTGGATATTGAAGGCTACAGATCACAGATTCGGCCTGAGGCTATTCTTCAACAATGATTAAGTCGATTAAGCACCGAATTGGGCGGATTAATTCGGGGTCAATTTTTGGCAGATTCCAAATGGGTACCATCTGAGATTTCAGGAGATTTTTAAGAAATGCCATTTTCTTTCGATTCTGAATGCTAAAGATCACGAAATCAGGCAGAGGCTATTGATTCTATTTTCCACGGATGATAAGCCTATTAAGCATAGATTTGGGCCAATTTATTTTCGGGTTGCATTTCGTTATTTTTTGTACGACGAAAGGCCATTTTCTTTGGATATTGAAGACTACAGATCAAGGATTCAGTCTGAGGTTATTCTTCAATGATAATTAAGTCCATTAAGCACCGATTTGGCTGGATTTATTCTAGATCAAATTTTGGAATATTCCAAAGGGGTACCATCACCGATTTCGGGCGATTTTTCCGAAATGCCATTTTCTTTCGATTCCGGAGGCTATAGATCACGGATTTGGCCTGAGGCTATTCTTCCACGATGATTAAGTCCATTAAGAACCAATTTGGGCGGATTTATTCTGGGTCAATTTCTGGCAGATTCCAAAGGGGTACCTTTACAGATTTCGGGTGATTTTTCCGAAATGCCATTTTCTTTCGATACTGGAGGCTAAAGTTAACGGAATCAGACTGATGCTATTCTCCACCGATAAGGAAGTCAATTGATCCTATTCTTCACGGATGATAAGCCCATTAAGCATAGATTTGGCCCAATTTATTTTCGAATGACATTTTCGTTATTTTTTGGGCGACGAAAGGACATTTTCTTTGGATATTGAAGGCTGCAGATCACAAATTCGACCTAAGGCTATTCTTCATCGATGATTAGGTCCATTAAGCACCGATTTGGGTAGATTAATTCTGAACAATTTTTTGCAGATTCCAAAGGTGTACAATTACAGATTTCGGGCGTTTTTTTTAAATGACATTTCCCTTCAATTTTGGAGGCTAAAGATCTCGAAATCAGGCCGAGGCTATTCTACCCCGATAATGAAGTCTATTGATCTTATTCTCCACGGATGATAAGACTATTAAGCACGGATTTGGGCCAATTTATTTTCGGAGGAAATTTTTGTTATTTTTTGGGTGACGAAAGCCCATTTTGTTTGGATATTGAAGGCTACAGATCACGGATTCGGTTTGAGGCTATTCTTCAACGATGATTAAGTCCATTATGCACCATTTTGGACGGATTAATTCTGGGTCAATTTTTGGCATATTCCAAAGGGGTACCAACACAGATTTCAGGCGATTTTTCTGAAATGCCATTTTCCTTCAAATCTCGAGGCTAAAGTTCACAGAATAAGATGAGGCTATTCTCTACCGATAATGAAGTCTATTGATCCTATTCTCCACGGATGATAAGCCCAATAAGCACAGATTTGGCAATTTATTTTCGGATGACATATTCGTTATTTTTAATGCGACGAAAGGGCATTTTCTTTGGATATTGAAGGCTATACATCACGGATTCGGCCTGAGGCTATTCTTCAACGATGATTATGTCCATTAAAAACCGATTTGGGCGGATTAATTTTGGGTCAGTTTTTTGCTGATTCCAAAGGGATACCATCACAGATTTCGGGCGATTTTTCCGAAATGCCATTTTCTTTCGATTCTAGAGGCTAAAGATCACATAATGAGGCCGAAGCTATTCTCCACCGATAATGAAGTCTATTGATCCTATTCTCCACGGATGATAAGCCCATTAAGCACATAATTGAGCCAATTTAATTTCGAATTGCATTTTCGTTATTTTTTGGGCGACGAAAGGCCAATTTCTTTGAATATTTAAGGGTACAGATCACAGATTCGGCCTGAGGCTATTCTTTAACGATGATTATGTCCATTAAAAACTGATTTGGGCGGATTAATTCTGGGTCAATTTTTTGCTGATTCCAAAGGGATACCATCACAAATTTCGGGCTATTTTTCCGAAATGCCATTTTCTTTCGATTCTAGAGGCTAAATATCACAGAATCAGGCCGAAGCTATTCTCCACCGATAATGAAGTCTATTGATCCTATTCTCCACGGATGATATGCCCATTAAGCATAGAATTAGGCCAATTTAATTTCGGATGGCATTTCGTAATTTTTTGGGCGACGGAAGGCCATTTTCTTTGAATATTTAAGGGTACAGATCACAGATTCGGCCTGGGGCTATTCTTCAACGATGATTACGTCCATTAAGCAACGATTTGGTCGGATTTATTTCGAGTCAATTTTTGACGGATTCCAAAGGGGTACCATCAAAGATTTCTGGCGATTTTAACGAAATGCCATTCTCCACCGATAATGAAGTCTATAGATCCTATTCAGCATGGATGATAGGACCATTAAGTACCGATTTGGGCCAATTTATTTTTGCATGGCATTTTCGTTATTTTTTGTGCGACGAAAGGCCATTTTCTTTGGATTTTGAAGGTTATAGATCACGAATTCGGCTTGAGGCTATTCTTCAACGATGATTAAGTGCATTAAGCACAGATTTGGGCGGATTTATTCTTGGTCAATTTTTAGCAGATTCAAAAAGGGTACCATCACAGATTTCGGTTGATTTTTCCAAAATGCCATTTTCTTCCGATTCTGGAGGCTAAAGAGCACAGAATTAGGCCGAAGCTATTGTCGGCCGATAATGAAGTGTATTGATCCTATTCTCCACGAATGATAAGCCCATTAAACACAGAATTGGGCCAATTTATTTTCAGATGGCATTTTCGTTTTTTTTTTTTTGCGACAAAAGACCATTTTATTTGGATATTGAAGGCTACAGATCACGGAATCGACCTTAGGCTATTCTTCAACGATGATTAAGTCCATTAAGCACCTATTTGGGCGTATTAATTTTGGGTCAATTTTTGGCAAATTCCAAATGGGTACCATCACAGATTTCGTGAGATTTTTCCGAAATGTCATTTTCTTTTGATTATGGAGGCTAAAGATCACGGAATTAGGCCGAGACTATTCTCCACCTATAATGAAGTCTATTGATCCTATTCTCCACGGATGATAAGCCCGTTAAGCACAGATTTGAGACAATTTATTTTCGGGTTGCATTTTCGTTATTTTTTGTGCGATGAAAGACCATTTTCTTTGGATATTGAAGGCTACAAATCAAGGATTCAGTCTGAGGCTATTATGAGGCTACAAATTAAGCAACGATAGGGGTGGATTTATTCTAGATCAATATTTGGCATATTCCAAAGCGGTACCATCACAGATTTCAGGCGATTTTTCTGAAATGCCATTTTCTTTCAATTCTGGAGGCTATAGATCACGGATTCAGCCCGAGGCTATCCTTCAACGATGATTAAGTCCATTTAGCACCAATTTGTGCGAATTTATTCTGGGTCAATTTTTGACAGATTCCAAAGGGGTTACCATCACACATTTCGGGCGATTTTTCTGAAAGTCCATTTTTTCGATTCTAGAGGCTAAAGATCACAGAATATGACAGAGGCTATTCTCCACCGATAATGAAGTCTATTGATCCTATTCTCCACGGATGATAAGCCCATTAAGCACATGATTGGGCCAATTTATTTTCGGATGACATTTTTGTTATTTTTTGGACGACGAAAGGCCATTTTCTTTGGATATTGAAGGCTACTGATCACGGAATCGACATGAGGCTATTCTTCAACGACGATAAATTCCATTAAGCACCGATTTGGGCGATTTATTATGGGTCAATTTTTAGCAGATTCCAAAGGGGTACCATCACAGATTTCGGGCGATATTTCCGAAATGCCAATTTCTTTCATTTGTGCAAGCAATAGATCACGGAATCAGGCCGAGGCTATTCTCCACTAATAATGAAGTCTATTGATCCTATTATCCACGAATGATAATCCCATTAAGCATCGATTTGGGACAATTTATTTTCGGATGGCAGTTTCGTTATTTTTTGGGCGATAAAAGGCCATTTTCTTTGGATATTGAAGGCTAGAGATCACGGATTCAGCCTGAGGCTTTTCTTCAACGATGATTAAGTCCATTAAGCACAGATATATGCGGAATTATCCTGGATTAATTTTTGGTAGATTCCAAAGGAGTACCATCACAGATTTCTAGCGATTTTTCGAAATGCCATTTTATTTTGATTCTGGAGGCTATAGATCACGGAATCAGGCCGAGGCTATTCTCCACCGATAATGAAGCCTATTGATCCTATTCTCCACGGATGATAATCCCATTAAGCACCGATTTGTGACAATTTATTTTCGGATGGAATTTTCGTTATTTTTTGGGCGACGAAAGGCCATATTCTTTGGATATTGAAGGCTACATATCACGGATTTGGCCTGATGCTTTTCTTCAAGGATGATTAAGTCCATTAAGCACCGATTTGGGCGGATTTATTCTTGGTCAACTTTAGGCAGATTCCAAAGGGCATCACAGATTTCGAGCGATTTTTCCGAATTGCCATTTTCTTTCGATTCTGGAGGCTAAAGATCAAAGAATCAATCAGAGGCTATTCTCTACCTATAATGAAGTCTATTGATCCTATTCTCCGTGGATGATAAGCCCATTCAGCACATAATTGGGCCAATTTATTATCGGATGACATTTTCTCCATTTTTGGGCGACGAAAGGCCATTTTCGTTGGATATTGAAGGCTACAGATCACTGATTTATCCTGAGGCTATTCTTCAACGATGATTAAGTCTATTAAGAACCGAATTGGGCGGATTAATGCTGGGTCAATTTTTGGTAGATTTCAAAGGGGTACCATCGCAGATTTCAGACGATTTTTTTGAAATGCCATTTTCCTTCGATTCTGGAGGCTAAAGATCACAGAATCAGGTCGAGGCTATTCTACACCGATAATGAAGTCTATTGATCCTATTCTCCACGGATGATAAGCCCATTAAGCACAAATTCGGGCAAATTTATTTTTGGATGACATTTTCGTTATTTTTTGGGCGACGAAAGACCATTTTCTTTGGATTTTGAAGGCTACAGATCACGGATTCAGTATGAGGTGATTGTTCAATGATGATTATGTCCATTAAGCACCAATTTGAGCGAATTATTCTAGGTCAATTTTTGGCATATTCCGAAGGGGTACCATCACAGATTTCAAGGGATTTTTCTGAAATGCAATTTTTTCCCAATTCTCGAGGCTAAAGATCACAGAATCAGGCCGAGACTATTCTCTCCCTATAATGAAGTCTATTGGTCCTATTCTCCACGGATGATAAGCCCATTAAGCACAGATTTGAGCCAATTTATTTTTGGATGGCATTTTCGTTATTTTTTTGTTGACAAAAGGACATTTTCTTTGGATATTGAAGACTACAGATCACGGATTCGACCTGAGGCTATTCTTTAATGATGATTAAGTCCATTAAGCACCAACTTGGGCGGATTTATTCTCTATCAATTTTTGTCATATTCACAAGGGTTCCATCACAGATTTCGGACAATATTTCCGAAATGCCATTTTCTTTTGATTCTGGAGTCTAAAGATCATGGGATCAGGGCGAGGTTATTCTTCATCGATAATGAAGTCTATTGATCCTATTCTCCACGGATGCTAATCCCATTAAGCACCGATTTGTGACAATTTATTTTTGGATGGAATTTTCGTTATTTTTTGGGCGACGAAAGGTCATTTTATTTGGATATTGAAGGCTACAGATCACGGATTTGGCCTGAGGCTTTTCTTCAACGATGATTAAGTCCATTAAGCACCGATTTGGGCGGATTTATTCTTGGTCAATTTTTGGCAGATTCCAAAGGGCATCACAGATTTCGAGCGATTTTTCCGAATTGCCATTTTCTTTCGATTCTGGAGGGTAAAGATCACAGAATCAGGCCGAGGCTATTCTCCACGGAATGGTATAATTTATTTTTGGATGGTATTTTCGTAATTTTTTGGGTGATGAAAGGCCATTTCCTTTGGATATTGAAAGATACAGATCACGGAATAGGCCTGAGGCAATTCTTCAACGATGATTAATTCCATTAAGCACCGATTTTGGCGGATTAATTCTGGGACAATTTTTGTCATATTCCAAAGGGTTCCATCACAGATTTCGGGCAATTTTTCCATAATGCCATTTTCTTTCGATTATGGAGTCTAAAGATCATGGGATAAGGCCGAAGCTATTCTCTAGCAATAATGAAGTCTATTGATCCTATTCTCCACGGATGATAAGGCCATTAAGCACAGATTTTGGCCAATTTATTTTCGGATGACATTTTCGATATTTTTTGGGTGATGAAAGACCATTTTCTTAGGATATTGAAGGATACAGATCACAGATTCGACCTGATGCTATACATAAAAAATGATTAAGTCCATTCAGCACCAATTTGGGCGGATTTATTATGGGTCAATTTTTGGCAGATTCCAAAGGGGTACCATCACAGATTTTGGTCGATTTTTCCGAAATGCCATTTTCCTTCGATTCTGAAAGCTAAAGATCACAGAATCAGGCCGAGGCTATTCTTCAACTATGATTAAGTCCATTAAGAACCGATTTTGGCGCATTAATTATGGGTCAATATTTTGCAAATTCCAAAGGGGTACCATCACAAATTTCGGGCGATTTTTCCGAAATGCCATTTTCCTTCGATTATGGAGGCTAAAGATCATGGAATCAGGAAGAGGCTATTCTCTACCGATAATGAAGTCTATTGATCCTATTCTCCACGGATGATAAGCCCATTCAACACCGATTTGAGCCAATTTATTTTCGGATGGCATTTTCGTTATTTTTTGGGTGACAAAAGGACTTTTTTTTTTGGATATTGAAGGCTACATATCACGGATTCGACCTGAGGCTGTTCTTTAATGATGATTAAGTCCATTAAGCACCGACTTGGGCGGATTTATTCTCTATCAAATTTTGTCATATTCCAAAGGGTTCCATCACAGATTTCGGGAAATATTTCCGAAATGCCATTTTCTTTCGATTATGGAGTCTAAAGATCATGGGATTAGGCCGAGGTTATTCTTCACCTATAATGAAGTCTATTGATCCTATTCTCCATGGATGATAATCCCATTAAGCACCGATTTGTGACAATTTATTTTCGTATGGAATTTTTGTTATTTTTTGGGCGACGAAAGGCCATTTTGTTTGGATATTGAAGGCTACAGATCACAAATTCGGCCTGAGGCTTTTCTTCAATGATGGTTAAGTTCATTAAGCACCGATTTGGGCGGATTTATTCTTGGTCAATTTTTGGCATATTCCAACGGGCATCACAGATTTCGAGCGATTTTTTCGAATTGCCATTTTCTTTCGATTCTGGAGGGTAAAGATCACAGAATCAGGCCGAGGCTATTCTCCACGGAATGGTATAATTTATTTTCGGATGGTATTTTCGTAATTTTTTGGGTGATGAAAGGCCATTTCCTTTGGATATTGAAAGATACAGATCACGGAATAGGCCTGAGGCAATTCTTCAACGATGATTAATTCCATTAAGCACAGATTTTGGCGGATTAATTCTGGGACAATTTTTGTCATATTCCAAAGGGTTCCATCACAGATTTCGGACAATTTTTTCGAAATGCCATTTTCTTTCGATTATGGAGTCTAAAGATCATGGGATCAGGCCGAAGTTATTCTCTATCGATAATGAAGTCTATTGATCCTATTCTCCACGGATGATAAGGCCATTAAGCACAGATTTTGGCCAATTTATTTTCGGATGACATTTTTTATATTTTTTGGGTGATGAAAGACCATTTTCTTAGGATATTGAAGGCTACATATCATTGATTCGACCTGATGCTATTCATAAAAAATGTTTAGTTCCATTCAGCACCAATTTGGGCAGATTTATTATGGGTCAATTTTTGGCAGATTCCAAAGGGATACCATCACAGATTTTGGGCGATTTTTCCGAATTGCCAATTTCCTTCAATTCTGGAGGCTAAAGATCACGGAATCAGGCCGAGACTATTCTTCAACTATGATTAAGTCCATTGAGAACCGATTTCGGCGCATTAATTCTGGGTCAATATTTGGCAAGTTCCAAAGGGGTGTCATCACAAATTTCGCGCGATTTTTCCGAAATGCCATTTTCCTTCGATTATGGAGGCTAAAGATCATGGAATCAGGCAGAGGCTATTCTCTACCAATAATGAAGTCTATTGATCCTATTCTCCACGGATGATAAGCCCATTCAACACCGATTTGAGCCAATTTATTTTCGGATGGCATTTTCGTTATTTTTTGGGTGACAAAAGGACATTTTCTTTGGATATTGAAGGCTACAGATCACGGATTCGACCTGAGGCTATTCTTTAATGATGATTAAGTCCATTAAGCACCGACTTGGGCGGATTTATTCTCTATCAATTTTTGACATATTCCAAAGGGTTCCATCACAGATTTCGGGAAATATTTCCGAAATGCCATTTTCTTTCGATTCTGGAGTCTAAAGATCATGGGATCAGGCCGAGGTTATTCTTCACCGATAATGAAGTCTATTGATCCTATTCTCCACGGATGATAATCCCATTAAGCACCGATTTGTGACAATTTATTTTCGGATGGAATTCTCGTTATTTTTTGGGCGACGAAAGGCCATTTTCTTTGGATATTGAAGGCTACAGATCACGAATTCGGCCTGAGGCTTTTCTTCAACGATGATTAAGTCCATTAAGCACCGATTTGGGCGGATTTATTCTTGGTCAATTTTTGGAAGATTCCAAAGGGCATCACAGATTTCGAGCGATTTTTCCGAATTGCCATTTTCTTTCGATTCTGGAGGGCATAGATCACGGAATCAGGCCGAGGCTATTCTCCACGGAATGGTATAATTTATTTTCGGATGGTATTTTCGTAATTTTTTGGGTGATGAAAGGCCATTTCCTTTGGATATTGAAAGATACATATCACGGAATAGGCCTGAGGCAATTCTTCAACGATGATTAAGTTCATTAAGCACAGATTTTGGCGTATTAATTCTGGGACAATTTTTGTCATATTCCAAAGGGTTCCATCACAGATTTCGGGCAATTTTTCCGAAATGCCATTTTCTTTCGATTATGGAGTCTAAAGATCATGGGATCATGCCGAAGCTATTCTCTACCAATAATGAAGTCTATTGATCCTATTCTCCACGGATGATAAGGCCATTAAGCACAGATTTTGGCCAATTTATTTTCGAATGACATTTTCGATATTTTTTGGGTGATGAAAGACCATGTTCTTAGGATATTGAAGGCTACAGATCACAGATTCGACCTGATGCTATTCATAAAAAATGATTAAGTCCATTCAGCACCAATTTGGGCGGATTTATTATGTGTCAATTTTTGGCTGATTCCAAAGGGGTATCATCCCAGATTTTGGGCGATTTTTCCGAAATGCCATTTTCCTTCAATTCTGGAGGCTAAAGATCACGGAATTAGGCCGAGGCTATTCTTCAAATGATTAAGTCCATTAAGAACCGATTTCGGCGCATTAATTCTGGGTCAAGATTTGGCAAATTCCAAAGGGGTACCATCACAAATTTCTGGCGATTTTTCCGAAATGCCATTTTCCTTCGATTATGGAGGCTAAAGATCATGGAATCAGGCAGAGGCTATTCTCTACCGATAATGAAGTCTATTGATCCTATTCTCCACGGATGATAAGCTCATTCAGCACCGATTTGAGCCAATTTATTTTTGGATGGCATTTTCGTAATTTTTTGGGTGACGAAAGGCCATTTTCTTTGGATATTGAAAGCTATAGATCACGGATTCGTCCTGAGGCTATTCTTCAACGATGATTAAGTCCATTAAGCACCGATTTGGGAGGATTTATTCTCTATCAATTTTTGACAGATTCCCAAGGGGTGCCATCACAGATTTCAGGACATTTTTCCGAAATGCCATTTTCTTACTATTCTGTAGGCTATAGATCACGGAATCAGGCCGAGTTTATTCTCCACCAATAATGAAGTCTATTGATCCTATTCTCCATAGATGATAAGCTCACTAAGCACCAATTTGGGCCAATTTATTTTCGGATAGCATTTTCGTAATTTTTTGGGCGACGAAAGACCATTTTCTTTGGATATTGGAGGCTACAGATCACGGATTCGGTCTGAGGATATTCTTCAACGATGATTAAGACCATTAAGCACCGATTTGGGAGGATTTATTCTCTGTCAATTTTTGGCAGATTCCAAAGGGGTACCATCACAGATTCCATGCGATTTTTCCGAAATGTCATTTTATTTCGATTATGGAGGCTAAAGATCACAGAATCAGGCCGAGGCTATTCTCTACCGATAATGAAGTCTATTGATCCTATTCTCCACGGATGATAAGCCCATTAAGCACAGAATTAGGCCAATTTATTTTGGGATGGTATTTTCGATATTCTTTGGGCGATGAAAAGCCATTTTCTTAGGATATTGAGGGCTAAAGATCACAGATTCGACCTGATGCTATTCTTCAACGATGATTAAGTCCATTAAGCACTAATTTGGGCGAATTTATTCTCGGTCAATTTTTGGCAGATTCCAAAGGGGTACCATCACAGATTTCGGGTGATTTTACAAAAATACCATTTTCTTTCGATTGTGGAGGATAAAGATCACAAAATCATGTCGAGGCTATTCTCCACCGATAATGAAGTCCGTTGATCCTATTCTCCATGGATGATAAGCACATTAAGCACATATTTGGCTCAATTTATTTTCGGATGACATTTTTGTTATTTTTTGTGCGACGAAAGGCCAATTTCTTTGGATATTGAAGGCTACTGATCACATATTCGGCCTGAGGCTATTCTTCAACGATGATTAAGTCCATTAAGCACCGACTTGGGCGGATTAATTCTGGGTCAATATTTGGCAAATTCCAAAGGGGTACCATCACAGATTTCGTGCGATTTTTCCGAAATGTCATTTTCTATCGATTCTGGAGGCTATAGATCACGGAATCACGCCGAGGTATTCTCCACCGATAATGAAGTTTATTGATCCTATTCTCCACGGATGATAAGCCCATTAAGCACTGATTTGAGCCAATTTATTTTTGGATTGCATTTTCGTTATTTTTTGGCCGACGAAAGGCCATTTCTTTGGATATTGAAGGCTACAGATTACGGATTCGGCCGAGGCTATTCTTCAACGATGATTAAGTCTATCAAGCACCGTTTTAGTCGGATTTATTCTAGGTCAATTTTTGGCAGATTCAAAAGGGTTTCCATCACAGATTACAGGCGGGTTTTCTGAAATGCCATTTTCTTTCGATTCTGGAGGCTAAAGATCAATGAATCAGGCCTACGCTATTCTCCACCGATAATGAAGTCTATTGATCCTATTCAACACGGATGATAAGACCATTAAGCACAGATTTGGACTAATTTATTTTCGTATGACATTTTTTCGTTATTTTTTGGGCGACGAAAGGCCATTTTTCTTTGGATATTGAAGGCTACAGATCACGAATTCGGCCTGAGGCTATTCTTCAACTATGATTAAGTCCATTAAGAACCGATTTGGGCGCATTAGTTTTGGGTCAATATTTGGCAGATTCCAAAGGGGTACCATCACAGATTTCAGGCGATTTTTCTAAAATGTCATTTTCCTTCGATTCTGGAGGCTAAAGATCACGAAATCAGGCCGAGCCTATTCTCCACGATAATGAAGTCTATTGATCCTATTCTCCATGGATGATAAGACCATTAAGCACGGACTTAGAATAATTTATTTTTGGATGGCATTTTCGTTATTTTTTGTGCGACGAAAGACCATTTTCTTTGGGTATTAAAGGATACAGATCACGGATTTCTTGAGGCTATTTTTCAACGATGATTAAGTCAATTAAGCACCGATTTGGGTGGATTTAGTTCGAGTCACTTTTTGGGATGGCATTTTCGTAATTTTTTGGGCGATTTTTTGCGAAAGGCCATTTTCCTTGGATTTTGAAGGCTACTGATAATAGGCTTTAGTATATTGGATTCTTGAGCTTTGTGATTATTCCATGATATGTTTACACCGATTGGTGCTATTTTAGGGCTCGTTAACTAGGGAATGGTTGAAAAACCATTACTGTCTAGTGCCATGAGTTTGATGTATTGCAGGTGAAGAAAGCACGAAAAAAGGAGAAATTTCACAGACAAACAAGGAAAAGAGTACAAGCAAAAAGTAGATTGGTGTCCCACGAACAACATTGAGAGCAGACTTAGGTTGGGGTTTTACTCTTAAGCTAAAGCACATTACGAATTGGGCTCGAAAGGGGTGGCTATCAATTTTCCCTGGACAAATCAACAATGGGCCACACAAGCTCATTTTTCTTGGGCGCCGAGAGAGCATAGGAGAGGGCAATTAATTGGGGGTCTGGGACGGAATTTACTTGGGGAGAAAAAGGAAGGAAGGAAACGAAATTGCTTTGCAGGGACGGAATTTCGTGGAGAATTAATTGGGAAAGAAGGGAACGTTTGGCGGCGACGAGAGCAAAATTTGGACCGCGAGCAATATCGCGTTGCAGCAGGAAGGAAGTAGCGCGAGCATCGCAGCTTGGTGATCGATATTTTTGTTCCGTCTCTTTTCTTTGTGACATGATGATTATAAACATGATTATATCTTTTGATTTCGTCATGAACTAAACCCCAAATTCTGGGGGAAACACCATAGGATGTAGCTATTTTCTATACTTGATGGATTAATTCATAATTCTTTTCTTCCAATCTCTATTGCATGAAATTGCTTAATGCTTTGTGTTCACTGGCCACCAATACATTGATTTGTTGTTAATTAGGTTATTAGCGACAGTGAAACCCTAATAACTGAACATATTTCATGTGACATAGTAACTTATCGAAGCGACAGTGGATTAAATAAGATGCTATGTGGTCTTGATTGGGATATCGGTCTTCAGGCTGAACAATTAATTCATTGAGCTACGACAGTAGGATTTGAGTTGATTGCTTAGTACGTAGTAATTCCCGACAGGGATAGCTAGCACAGTAGTGATATCCTGGCTGTAGAGATATGGATTAAATTGATTGGAATATGTGAATTAATTTGGATATGATAGGTAGCGAGTCCCGGTGTTTCTCCCAGAGCTTTCTCCATTGATTTCTCCCGACAAATTTACTTTGCTTAATTAGTTTAGTTATTTTGCTATTAGTTAATAAGTTTATCAACCAAACCATTTTTCACCTATAGTTTGCTCCACAAAATTGATAAATAAAAAGGTTGTACCAGTCCCTGAGAGAAGATACCTGGATTTCCGGTTTTACTACAAGATAGGAATTGGCATTACGCTTTTGCCCTATCGGCTACAGATCACGGTTTCGGCCTGAGACTATTCTTCAACGATGATTAAGTCCATTAAGTACCGATTTGGACAGATATCTTCCGGGTCCATTTTTGGCAGATCCCAAAGGTACCATCACCGATTTCTGGCGATTTTCACGAAATGCCATTTTCTTTTGATTTTGGAGGCTACAGATCACGGATTCAACCCTAGGCTATTCTCCGCCGATAATGAAGTCTATTGATCCTATTCTCCTTAAATAATTAAGCCCATTAAGCACCGATTTGGGCGAATTAATTTTGGGATGACATTTTCGTAATTTTTTAGGCGATTTTTTTTCCCAAAAGCCATTTTCATTAGATTTTGAAGGCTACAGATCACGGATTCGAACTGAGGCTATTCTTCAAGGGTGATTAAGTCCATTAAGCACCGATTTGGGCGGATATCTTCCGGGTCCATTTTTGGCAGATCCCAAAGGGGTACCATCACCGATTTTTGGCAATTTTCCCGAAATGCCATTTTCTTTCGATTTTGGAGGCTACAGATTATGGATTCAAACCGAGGCTATTCTCCACTGATAATGAAGTCTATTGATCATATTCACCATAAATGATTAAGCCCATTAAGCACCAATTTGGGCAAATTAATATTGGGATGACATTTTCGTAATTTTTTGGGCGATTTTTTTCGAAAGGCCATTTTTCTTTGATTTTGAAGGCTACATATCACGGATTCGACCTGAGGCTATTCTTCAATGATGATTAAGTCCATTAAGCACCGATTTTGGTGGATATCTTCTATGTCTATTTTTGGCAGATCCAAAAGGGGTACCATCACCGATTTCTGACGATTTTGCCGAAATGCAGTTTTCTTTGCATTTTGGATGCTACAAATCACGGATTCAACCCGAGGCTATTCTCCACCGATAATGAAGTCATTTGATCCTATTCTCCACAAATGATTAAGCCCATTAGGCACTGATTTGGGCGAATTAATTTTTGGATGACATTTTCGTATTTTTTAGGGCGATTTTTTTGGAATGGCCATTTTCCTAGGATTTTGAAGACTACAAATCTCGAATTGGGCCTCAGGCTATTCTTCAACGATGATTAAGTCTATTAAGCATCGATTTGGCCGGATTTCTTTCAGGTGGATTTTTGGCAGATTCCAAAGGGGTACCATCACCGATTTCTGGCAATTTTCCCGAAATGTCATTTTCTTTTTATTTTGAAGGCTACAGATCACGGATTCGTCCTGAGACTATTCTTCAACGATGATTAAATCCATTAACCACCGAATTGGACGGATATCTTCCGAGTCCATTTTTTGCAGATCCCAATGGGGTACCATAACCAATTTCTT